GAGCCATGGTTGTAATTCTTCACTGACATATTCTGCTTTTAGTAAAAAATGGGAACTTGTGGCAAAAAAACAGGGCCTATATAAGGGTTGAATGGGGAAAGACTGGAGTCCCATGTGGCATCAGGAATTCTTTAGATAAGGGTTTTCTTTTGGTTGTTAACTATGAAAAGAGAGGTGGAGATGGGCTTGTGAATAACTGGTGTGGGACCACTGGCCCTTCTTCCCATGTTGTGTTTCCAGTCAAATGATTATTCCCTGGAAATAAGGAAGTAGCTCAACAATGGACAAATGTAAAAGTATTAAAGTGATCGAATTTTCCCGTAGAATACAGAAAAGGATTAGGGTTCTGTATTCCTGCCAGCATGACTAAAAGCAAGGCTTTTCTTATGGTTTTGCTAGATCAGACGACCCCACAGTATGAATGTAGTAAAGGAAACATTCTTGAAAGTAACAAAAATAATGAATTTATCTCATTTTTCTTAAGCTTTTTTTCCTGTGTGGCAGGGCCCACAGCACCGAGTAAGAGACACTGTTATTAAGACTCAGCCAGTCTAGATGGGTGGCTCCGTCTCCATGAATGGAAGCTTGAGAGCTCCCGAGGCTCTACAGTTTGGGTGGACACATTACAGCAAATCAGACCAGGAAAATTTTCAGTCTGATGTGTCCACCCCAAGCGACAGAACCACTGCCTTCTTATTGACCTTTCAGGTCAGATTTTCTTTAAGGATGCAGTATATTTGTCTATATGCTGTGGGGCCTTGGGAACATATGTGAGCAGATCTTAGCACACTATCTTTCCTAACCCTTAGAACTTCTGGAGGGAGGATTTACATGTCTAAACTATTTGCCTTATTTGGCAATAGAAATATTATTCTGTAGGCATGAAATATAGACTGTTAGTGACACGGGGTAGGAATAGTGGTGAAACATTTTCTTCCTTGAAGGCAAGGTCAATTCTGAAGCCATTCAGAAGTGGGGCACTTTTGATCAGAAGGGTAGAAACTCTAACAGTGATAAATGAAAGGTGCTTTAATACCCAAAGACCCACACTTTCCACTCCAGGGCTGCACACAGCACTAGGAAAGACAGGTAGGACCAGCACTGTGGAGGCCACAGGTGGTATCAGAGCTTCCTGCTCCATCTGGGCCTGGCCTTTTGCTCAGTCATTTAGGATAAGGGCCTTCAGGAATAAGCCCAAATTTCAACTGCTTCTAGGATATATATTTTATGTGAAATTTTCTATTTGATTCTTAGTCTGGGTAATCTTAGTGACTCAAACTTAAATTTCTACCTAAAATAGCACAAGGCTTCTTTCTGTTGCCCTTTCCTTGCTTAAGAGACAATGAAGCTGACAAGAGTTATTCTTTCTTTTTTTTTTTTTTGATGGCTACATGAATTCATTTTATTTTTTAAAGAGAACAAAAAAGTTTTAAAAAAACCATTAAAATGATTCTAAACAAAGCCATTGTTGAATTCCTATCATTTTGTTTAGAGTCATTCTTGACTATCTCAGGAAAGACTGAATACCTCAAGTCTATGCATATAGTGCAGTGTTGTCACATAAGGTCTATGCCACTATGTCAGTGATTATTACATTGTACAGCATCATTCTGAGATGTGGTACGGCTTTTAAATAGATGCATTTACAAACCCTTTTGTGCTTAAGCCCCTGGTTTGATTTCTCCTGCAGCCATAGGCACCACTCTTAACCCAGCTTTAACAAATTTAATCAGTGGGTCACACAACATGGGATCTATGTGAATCGGTAGCAGGTTGAGGAGCTGGACTTTAAACTCTAAGTGAAGATAGCTTGGGATTTTAAAAACTGCTGCACTCAGTAACATTTCAGTGAACTAATCATAGATGGGAAATAGAGAAATCGTTGTTATAGCTGTATGATCCCTTCTAAAGAAAAAGGAAATTAGTTAGAAACTGAAAAGTAAGAGAAGAAAAAGAATTCAGCTCATAGGTTCTAAAATCTGCAGGCCAAAAGGAATGATGATTGGTTCATACCCATAAATTCAATCCCAAGATGCTCTGCCAATGCAGAAAGTTGACACAAAAAAAAAAGAAAGGGAAAAAGTTTCAGAAAAGAGCAATACACTGCACTCCAAAACACATTACACATGACTATTACAGCTCTCTGGGCGTGCACAGGGGACAGGACATGTGGCAGGTGGTTTACACAGCAGTGCTCAGGTAAGCATCCCATTAAACCTTAAAAGACTTCACTGAGGGAGAAGTGATATGGCTGAGCTAACCGCTATACTCTTCACTGAGAAAAGAAACATGAGTTTTATAATCAGATATGGCATCTGATTATTTTAAATAAAGTTATGTTCCAAAGAGGAAAATTTGATTTTTTTTTTCTCAAACACACACAACTGCAGAGCCAGGAGTAAAAGCCAAGAGTATTGGACCTGAAACTTCTGTGTTATGTTGGACTTAGGTTTTCATTTATGATGAGCAGTTAATGGTTTAATAGTTCTTGTGCTGTAGTTACTTTTTAGTTCCATGTGTTTTTTTAGTATGTTTCGCTCACAGAAAATCTCAAATCCTTCCACCAAAATAACTATTTGACTTGGGACACTGGAGACTGCTTCTAATTTATTTCCCCCATATTATGTTTGTGCAATGTTGGAAAATTCTAAGACTTAATTTTTCAAATTGAGAAACAAAAAGAAAAAAAATCAAGTATATGTGCGTGTGTTTAGGTGGGGGTGGGATACAGTTTCTGGGGTCTTTTAATTAAACTGATTTTACTTTATCACTTTTTCAGGTAACAATTAGATCCCCCAGGGTGCTGAGCATCTTTGGTCCTGAGATCAGCAATTCTGCCCAAGGCAAGGGACTCAAAGCTGGGATCCTACAGCCAGCAATCCTGGCAGCTTTGCCTCTACGCATGCCAGCACTGGAGGACAGCAGAACCTGCACAAAACTACAGGGGAAGTGCAGGAAATGAGGCAAAGAAAAATATAACAATAAAACTTAAATCTTAAAAATATTTCCTTGTATGCAAATATTTAAGGCTTCCCTTAGTTGCGTGTGCACAGTGATGAGGAGTCAGGTGGGAAGGAGGGGTGGAGTGTCAACAGAAGTCTGGATTTCCTTTCTTGATCAATGAGTTGAGCATCAGCAGGGCAATCTTGCAGCACAAGAAGGCATCTCCTATATTAGAAAATGTGGTGTGGGGACATTAACTCTTGCAAAATATGTTTGGGTATGGAGAAAGTGCCTCCACAGAGGGGAAGAGAAAAGTTCATGTGTTGAGGTCATCTTGGTTTCAGGTTCTGCCTCTGCCATTTACCTGTTAGTGTGTTTGGACAAGTTAACCATTCACTGCCCAAATATAAGCTATACATTGCCTCCATGGGTAACCTAGCGAATAATAAGAACAGGAGATATACTGGCCACCAGCAGAAGGGGTTAACATCTCAAGGCCAGACACATCTGGAGACGTACCTCTGGCCACTTACTGTGTTCAGGTTTATTTTAGACTAATCCCATGGCCAGGACAATTCTGAAAGGTCCTGGGAGATATCAAAGAAGCAGATTTTAAAGGAATCATGCTTTTTAAATTTAAATAATTACATGTGTATATTAATAATGGGAGGCATTATATATAATAGTTTCTTCTGTCTTGGGGTCAGTGGACTCAGGCAAATAACCTGAATTTTTCATAAATTAAAAGCCAGAAGATTTCTTCTGCATAAGATGTTCAGAGTAAAATGATATATGCAAAACCAAACAAATATCTTTTTCTCTGTACCACACTCAATTTCTCTCATGTTCTTCATATAAACTTTGGAACATCAACCTGAAAGGATTCACTTTCCAAAGAAATGAGGATCAGATGCACTTTTCTTCCTGGAAGTCCCTCTATTTGTCTCTCTTTTTCTTCTACCAGTCAGTGATAATTTGAGGGTTAAAATCAAAACAGCTACAGAAAATCTTTGTACGGAATTATTATTCTATGCCTACGTGAACACTGCTAATGATCTATATTAGTTGCGTAGAAAGCGTGGTTAGGTCTTCAATAAAATTAGTAGCATGCCCATGCATACATATTACTGCATTTACAGTTTTATAGGTAAGATTCTGAGCCTAATGATAATTTCATTTCAAGGGAAGTCATTCATATCAGGCAGTTCCAATTTCAAATAATTCAATGGGAAATTGGTACTTAAAACTGGAATCCTTCTGGCCATAAGCCCTAACAAGGAAACAAGCAGAGGAAGCATGCATCTGTCATTCTAGACCCACAGCAAACACCACACTCATTTTTTTTACTATTGGTAGCTAGAATTTTTCATCATGAGTCCAAAAGCAGAATATGCAACACTTTGCATTTGATGAAGAGGTTATTTCTTTCTAACTGTTCTTTTTAATCTAATGCTGGCTTAGGCTCATTATGTATCACAGGCTTCCTATTGAACTTCTGCCTAGCCACTACATTTTTCAAATTAAATTAATAATTCAAAAACACAAAGGTTACTGTAAACAATTTAGTTTCCTTTTCTACATGTGATTTCCTGCTGTGCTCTAAGCAATATAAAAAATTAATTTAAATCCAAGAGTCGTTAGAAATTATTAAATATTGACTCACTAATCCTTTGCATTAGGACTTTATAATTGCTTGAAGAAAACTGATTAACCTGGAGGTTAATTTAAATTTTCAGCTGGATTAGGGAAAAAGCTTCCCTTCACTAAAATGATACATCCACTGCTATTACAATTTCTGTTAAAAATTGAAGCTATTCAGGATTTTATTTTTAGCATTTGGGGCTTGTTTATGCAAATAAACTCAAAGTCATGGGCAGTCTTGGTTTTCTGCACTCTAAGATTGTTACAGGCGTTTTGTCAGTGCCAGTTTTTAATGAGAATAATTTAGTGTCCGAGTTTTAATTTTAGACTTACCTTCATAAATGCAGACTTTTTTTCACATATGCCAATCCATATTGTCACTGAGCCCTTTGTTCCTTAGCCCTAAGTTCCATGGGCAATAAGCACACACACAAACATACATACAGTAAAATCTCACACTCGGTTGGAATTTATGACAATTTTGTCATAGGTGGAGTGTGTCTTTATTCTACCATTAGCAACATACACATTTGGTAAATACATTATTTCAACAGGTTTTAAAAGCATTTAGAAAGAAATCCATGAAATGAATAATGCATTAATAACATGATTCAAGACTACTTTTAAAGGTATCCAATAAGTTGACTCATTTTAAAAATGTGCCTAAAAGTTATAAATTATACAACTCCATCTACTCCATCATTAGTTCCTATTATTTGTTAGTTTTTGTGGTTGTACTTGTTCCATACTATCTCTATCTATTGAAACTGAAAATGCTTTTTCTTTTCTTGGAAAGTCTACATATTAAGGACTACCTAAACACGCATACACAGACACATGTATACACACACACACACACACACACACACACACACACTCACGCCCATAATCTACACCATGTATTGATGGACACAATTCTATCAACTAGCTATCGCATCAGGATAGCTTGAATTTAAAGCTGACTCAATTTGATAGTATTTTCCTAGGAAACAGTATAAATGTTATATTTCAAGACAAATGGTTGTCTTATAAAATATGTGTTTTTTCCTTTCCATCACATTTTAAATCATGTCTTATAGGACATTATAACCAGAATTATTGTCTCAAGTTCTAATATGTAAGTTATATGTTAACAAGCATTTAAAGAAAGAATTATAGATGTATTTTTTTTTAGAATGTTACACATCAACAGAAAATGTGGTTTTGTAAGATTTAATGGTTTCACTTTGAAACAGGGACTATTTTATCTTGAAAAATTACATTGTTCTCTTCAGATGCTAAGTCTGCAATTAAATTTTAAATTATCTCTGTAACAACATTTTTCTAACCTTTTAAAAAGCCTTCACTGCTCATGAATGTAAAGTTTTTTCTTAGGGTAGCTAAATTTACTTTCTTGCCTTCCATATGGGGTTTGTTGAGATAAAAAAAATGAGAATTCCAACATAGAAGTTAAGTAATTAACTCTGATCAGGATAATTCTGAAAAGCAATGTCTGATTAGAACCTCTTGTTTTCAAGACACGAGGCATCAATAATGCACAGTCATTATGTTTTTTGGGGGGAGGGGTAAATAAACATGCTTCCTATCAGTCTTGGTTAAACCAGGTTAAATATGAATGATAATTTCCTGGATGCCTTCCAAAAGTATCACTAAAAGCTCACTAAAGATTATATTTAAGGATTTACTTTCTGGACTTCACTTCGCTATTTTTAAATGATATCTTATGAAAGAGAAAATGGTTAGGAAGTGAATGAAAGCATTTCCTTTGGTTATTAATGTCAAGTCTAACTGTATTATTTTCTGGGAAATAACTTCATTTGCAGTGCTCTTCTTTATAAAGTGACCAAATATTTCTGCAATGCACAATGAAAGTATATAACTTAAGCTTTCAGAATTTTCATTAATTTCAAAAATTTGATTCTATTGTATTTACAGAGCTAAATAGATTTGCTATATCTATGCTATTTAAATATAAGCACAAATTGCTAATAAGAATGGCTTTAATGTATTCAATAAATTCTTTTTTTGCTTTGATTTTTTCTTGCCATCCTATCTACCTTTAAAAATCTATAGATATGGTGAGAAATATCTTCCTCAATAAATGGATAGTTTTGAATACAGTGAAGTTTACAAACTTAAAAGTGTCTATTTGTCAAATTTTTATAATAGAAAATGACCTGTGATATAATCTTTGATATGTAGTTTATATAAATATGTAGTAAACATCACTTCACAAAGTGATTACTATGGGTATGATCTTCCCATAGTGTAGTATAGAATTCATTCTCATAACTCCTTTGACTGTCAACATAATCTTGTTCTTTGCATGCATCATAACAAGGATTCTTTTAAAGGACCTAAGTGACCAGCTGTGTCACTATTGTATTCTATAAGTTTAAACTCCAATGGGCTGGACACTTTCCAGGGTAAGAAGCTGACAATAGAAGACAAGTCAGGGATGGCTAAATCCAGGCCATGGCCTGTTCTGTTGCAAATGGAGACTTAACAGGACACAACCACATCCACCAGCTTATGGACCTTCTATGGCTGCTTTCATGCTACAGTGGTACAACGGAGTGGTCAACACAGTGATGGTACTACCACAGCTATAAAATATTTGCTATTTGAAACTATTCATAAACATTTGCTAATGCTTTAGCTGAATGGATAATCAAATGGAATCTATTTTGAAGGAAATGTTTTGAAAGCTCTAGGACCAAAAGCTGTAATCCCAATTCACAACAGAGGGACAAATGAATAGTTCAGTTATCCATGCAGTTATAAACAATGTGAATTTGGTATTTTATGATGTTCAAAATACCATGAAGCCACAGAAATTCATTAGAATTTCTCAATTTTGCATGTAAAAAGTACATATATATTCTAGAGCTTAATCATTCCATTTCAAAGTAATAAATATTATTTAAAATAACTGTAAATATTTCTCCTCAAATACCTTTGAAGATACCATAATGAATGCTGAAATAAAAAATTCAAGCCCCAAAATGATTATTTAAACTAGTCCTGAGTTACTAATTCCCTAAGCAACACAAATGAGCCAAGATATTTTATTTGCTGTGAAATATTTGTTTTTACTTTTCCTATGCATGCTTTCTTTTAAATGCCTACATGTAAACTGCTTGGTTAATGAAGAGAAACATCTGAACTCTTTTGATGATGTTTATTTATTGTGAAGAACACACTCTGACTTACCATCATTTCAAGTGCATATTGGTTACAGTTTAGCAACATCCGTTTTGGGATGCTGACGTGGATACAGAAGATGGACTGCCCAGTGGAATGAGTTTATTTTACCAATAAAAGCGAGACTTTTAAATGCCTTTATTATAATTTCTCTGTTTGACCTTGACTTTCAGTTTGTATCACATTATGCAGTATCAATTTTGGAAACATCCAGAGCCTCACACACCTATTAGTATCTTAGCGCCAACTAGTCACAAACAGAGCAAGTAATACAATCGCTTGGTTAATGTTCTCATGCGACAGGCAGAGGCAGTCAATATTAGACCTGGTAAAACACATCTAGCTCTAGGTGAAATCTGAGGGAGACGCAGCAACAAGAAAGCAGCACCGACTGAGCATGCTCCTATTCAGGCAGAGACAGAAAGGGAGTGGACGTACTGTAGAAGCTGGCCATTACGTAGTTTTGGCAGCGATCACCAGTAAACTCATTTGGGCACCTGAGAGAAGAAACAAAAAACAATGGTAGAAAAAACAGAGAAAAAGAGAAGAGGTGAATATATGCTAGAAAGAAGCTCCTTCAGTGTCATTTCACTGACCTTGGTGAGTTCACCCTCAGGATCTGAATCTTTGTCTTAATCATGGCTTTTAGACTCTAGCATGTCCCCCAAATAGTTCCAAATTTGGACAAAACGTACTTCTTGGTACAATGACAAAAAGGTCCCAGGATTGTAAGTGACTGCTTTCTTTCAAAGGGAAACTTAAAAATTAAGGTCTGTTACCATATTGATTTCAGTTTTGTATTTTGATGGTCTTGGTCAAAGACAATGAATGGAGATGCCTTTGGTTGGCTTGCATGTCACTGATTGCCAGCCTCATGTTCTGTCATACGTGTGACTTTGGGACCTATGCAGAACGATACCTAGGCAAAAGGGTCCATGCTCTTGAGTGGATAAACCACAATTAGAACAAAAGGAATCAGTTACAACTGAGCAGTAAAAGCACCAAGAGGTAGTGATTGTTGCTGTACTTTGGGGGAGAAAGCAAATTTCAGATTATTTTAACATACTTTCTTGGGTTTGGACTTTCATGGGCACATTCTCAGTACATCTTGCTCCAGTGAATCCAGGTTGGCACCTAGAGGGCAAAAACGTGATAAGCAATAGAATGCCAAAGACACTGAGCTTTCAGACTGGCAATTTTCCTCCTACGGAATATGGAGATTCCTAAAAACAATCTGGTGCTGAACGACAGAAAGGAAAGACATGACATCCAGAAAATCACAACTCATGAAACGGTGGGGTATGGATTTTGGTTGTTTGTGTCAGTCTTCAACAGATTAGTAAACTGAAGTCCAAATAGAGTGAGGTTGAAAGAGGAACAGGGTTGGCAAGGCAGGGGCTGCCCTCACCTCCCGAAAGCACTGGTGCTGATTCTCCTGTGTTAGAGCCCTGACTCGGCTAAGAGTTCACATGGTTCTACCCATGGCTTTAGTTATCAAACAAATGTAAACTTTCTAATTTTATCTGCATCATTCAATTTTGTAATTATTTCATAGAAATTTTCTAAATTCTAAGCTCATTCATTAAACAATAGAAGCCAAGCACTTTTAAACTCTAGTGATTAAAGACAAGTAAAACTACAGTCTCTGTTTCTTAGAAGATACTACAAATTAACTTTCATTTTTGAAGTCTGGAGAAACAGAAGCAGGTTTTTATTAGCATACATTTCACTTAATCCAATTATCCCAGATGAGAGATATTTAAATCTCTTTAAATTTAGAAGTTATTATTCAATAGAAATATTATACTAGATTCCACTTTTGCATTTAAGGTAAAATTATTTTGAAATTACATAAAATTTATGTTTTATTCACTCATTCATGTTTCCTTATAAAAATTATGGATTCTTGATATGATATTATTCTTAAGATCCTGCAGTGGGGATCTGCTTAGATATGGAAGTCCTTTAAAATTGCTAATTTTATTGCAATTTAATAATAAGATATTATTTTAGTATCTAAAGCATTTCGAATTGGGTGCACTTTGCCCCATAAAATATTTTACTAAATAAGGAAATGGAAATGTTCTAAAAGCGAAAAGTACAGATGGAAACAAAAAATCTTGCTTGAATTCTCCATATTCATTGCCACAATTTTCAACTGTCTACCACAACCATGATGTAAAGCACCTATGTAAATATAATTTAAAAATAAATAGATATAATTTAACTCTGAAAGTAGATACCTGCTGATTTTATACCACCCCTACATCTCCAAAGTAAGAATACACACGACCATTTTTACATGAAGAAGATACAAATGAAGCTATTGGTTTAAAAATATAACAGCAATTTTTTTTCTTTCAAACCAAACTCAATACAAAAAACAAATGTTATCAAGTCATTTGGTACCATATGAAGAACATCCTATAAGAGAGAAATATTAGCAGTTTCATATATCTTTGTTCCATGAGTATTTGCAACATATCATTATGATCAATAAAATATTATAAGCTTAACAAGTATCTTGTACTGATACAGCTCTTTTTTCTTTTTTCTCTCTTAAACACTTTTATATAAATGAACTGATTACTTTTGTTTGGAATCCTTTGGTTACAGGAAACTCTGGAAAACTTACCTAGAGCCATATGTGCAGAACCATAAACTGTGAAGGAAGCCTACTTTTCACAAAGAAGTTATGCTACATGGTTCAATAAATATGTCTACGTGAATAAATAAGCAAGATAAATGAAAACCTCCACATAATTTACTTGACAAAGTAATTTCTGGGTTTTCTTTTTCTTTATTTTTTTTTTTTGGTGGCACCAGGGATAGAACTCAGGACGTTGTGCTTGACAGGCAAGGACTTATTCCACTGAACTATCTCCCTGACCCCTGACAAAGTAATTTCTGAAGAAAATAGTTGTATTTGTTTATTCATGAACCAGAACTATAAATCAATATAGACATAACTAATCCCTAAGATAATTACAGAATTAAGGATACATTCCATAATGACTGCTCATCTTATCTGATTCTATTTAATAAAAATTTAAATCCTCATATTGAGAATATAATAAAATGAACACAGTATAAAATATATGGATAGGCCCTCCTGGTGAGAGGCAGGGATGGAGGTCTGACTCATTTAAGGTAAAAAATGCTGTTATTAAAGTAACAGGAAATGAACAAATAGCTGAAGAATGATGAGTTCCTTAAGGGAAGACATATATTTATTAGGAAATTGTCACCTAGTCATCTTAGATGACATATGTACAGAGCGCGCAGGTCAACTACATACATGGGGTCAAAAGTCTTATCCCATCATTTGTCTATTTGTTATGCCCAACTAACATGCTTCCTAGCACTATGCCTACTGTAAGGCCCCACACACTATCGGGTGCAGTAACACTGGACAACTTAAGGTACACAGTCCTGTTTTGCAACTACCACCTGGATCTGAGCCTGAACTATGCTTTTGTGTTTCTCTCTTCACCTGGGGGATAAATTTTCTGAGTCATTTCCTAATGTTACAAAGCCCATTGATTACACAAAGTGTTTTCCACAGATCAACAGCATCGGCATCTCCTAGGACCTTGAAGAGCAGAATCCTAGGCCCAGTCCAGAACTACTGAGGAGTTTGCATTTTAACAAGATACCTAGGAGACTCATAGGAACGTTAACATAAAGGACCCTGAACACTGACACCAGAGGCTTGGGCCCTCTATCCTGACACAAAGTATCTTGTTCTTTGGACATCTGACTTCTTTGGGCCTCATTTTTCTCAGTGATGAAATGAAAGGATGCAATTAAATGGTCATCAAAGATCTCTTCCACCACTAAGATCTCTTGAGATTCGTATCATGTTGAGATTCTAGAACATGATACTCATGTTAACATAGGAAATCCTTGTTAGGAAGTCCTGCTATCATTTTTATCTCTGAATTAATTACCAGTCAGGGATAAGGGAACTCAAGAATTTCTAAAAATCTAGTTTGCTAAGTGGTAGAACACTTGCCTGGCATGTGTAAGGCCCTCAGTTGGATCCCCAGCCCACTAAATAAGGGAATGATGAATGAATGAATGATTTATGATAGTACAGATTTTTAAAAGAAAAGCATAAAGTTAAAACAAACTGCAGATCCTCAAGTAAGTTAGCTACTCAGCCACAAAAGTCACTATGCAACATTTACTGATGCCTAGAGTTGTTGCCAAAAAGCTGGAAGGATGTGGAATCTTCATGGAGAGCACTTGGAAATGAGAGTCCATCTGATTTACCGCTAGGTTGCAAGTCTATGAAAGTAACCCTAAAAGAGAAAGGAGACTGACTTTTGAATATTTTCCCTAACAGCATTGCCTGCTAAGCATCCAATCTATCACTGTCCTGGAGGATAAGAATAAGGGAAACTTAATTCGATTTTGAGCAACATGAACGAATTCCAAGCACTTCTAAGAAATTAAAGGATTTGAATAAGAATCAAGGACCTGCTGTATTTTCAAAAACACATACACCATTTGCTTCATCAATTAGAAAAAATTTTAAAAAAATTTTAGCCATTGGTTTTAATGTAATAATCCTTGCTCTATTTTCATATATATATATGAAACAGGTATCTTTTTTTCTGTTTTTTTTAGAAGTATATGTATAGATGGATACTATAAAGCAATAGGGCTGGGGATGTAGCTTTTTGTTTTTAGCACTGGAGACTAAACCCTGAACTACCTCTTCAGCCTTCTTTATTTTTTGAGACAGGGTCTTGCCAAGTCCCTACCATGCCCAAGCAGTAGGCTCTGCTTTGTAACTCTCGGGTCTCATCCTCCCAGCCTGCTGGGATCAAAGCTGTGTGTTACCACAGCTGGCTTCCACTTGTTCTCAGTGTGAACTTGGGTGTCTCTCTTCCAGGTAACCCTCCTCTGACCTTCATATCTCTCATCTGAGTTCTGGTTGCACGCTTGTTCTTTAGCTTTCACACTGCACTGTATCCTGATCCCTTCCACTCTACTGTATTATTTGTTTGTAAAAACAGGGATCACATTTTGATCATTCTATTACCTCTACATCCTCATGCAGCACCTGGCTCTTCAAGGGCTCTCACAAAATTTCTGCTAAATAAACCTAAGAGGAGCTTGCAGAACCCAATCAAGAATTGTAGAAAAAAAAAAAA